CCCAGAGCCTGAAGGAGCCGAGCTCCTGGGCCTCAGTGCTGGCAGCAGGCCCAGGGTCTGAGGAGAGCCCTGGCGTGGAAGCATTTTAATGTTTTCTAAATACACAATCTGGGTTAGATGCCCATTCGCATGACCTTTGTCTGTTCTTGCCTGGAGCCACCGCAGTAGGAGTTAATAAACACTGGAGGAAATGGAAAGGCCAGGGAAGAGATTTCCTGAGTGGGGAGCTTTACACCCAGGGGGGCCGCACGTCCCATTTGCCCGAGACACTCCCGGTTTCCCTCTGCTAATGGCACCCCATTTCCCTTTCAAAAGTCCTAGTCCAGATGCTAAGTTAGTCACCATCCATTACCCCATCATGTCCGCGATGGTCTGGCTAACATTCCCGAAGCCCAGTGCTGTTTCTCCAACAGCTTGTCTGAAGGATTGTCCGAAAGCTTGGGATCAAACCATCTGTCATGTTTTAAGCAAAATGTTCTACAATGGTTCTCAAACTGTGATCGCAGACCAGCAGCATCAGCATCACCTGGGAGCTTGTTAGAAATGCCCATTTCCAGGCCCCACCTCAGCCCTACAGAATCAACAGTGCTGGGGCCGGGCCCAGCCTTCCGCTTCACAAGCCTCCCAGGGGCTTCTGAGATGCGCTCTGTAATTTCAGGAAACATGTGCGAAGAGTGGGGAGGTGCACAGGCAGGGAGGAGTGGCTAGACAGAGGCAGGGCCTAGGGTCTGGCCCCAGCTCCATTCATTACTCTCTAGCTGGGGCTTTTCCTCGTGCCTCAGGTTCCTCACATGGAAATTAAACATGACAGCACGCCCCTCAGCTGCATCTCAGGACTGATGTAAAAATCAGCAAGAGGAGACACATGAGAATTCTTCCAAAGTCTAAAGCCTCCACAGTGATGTTAACGCTGCCTGTCAACAGCCGCCCCCTCCCCTCCCCAGGAATGAGCCAAGTGGTCTTTAAGTTTTCATCTAGGAAACCTTGGAGAGCTTCAGGACGTCCTGGATCCTTCTATGATTGAGTGCGAAACTGTGAGTACAAACGTGCATTTTTCTAGAGAGAAGACCATTCAGATCCCCCAAAGCCATGCTGATCGCAGTGGGCCTCTGTACTCCCCACCCGACACCCACAGTCTGTGACCCTCTTAAAGGTGGCAAGGCAGCCCTGGGGTGCGGAAGGGTGAGAAAGGGCAATGACACCAGGGCTTGCAGACCCAAATGCACAAAGCTCACTGCCTGCCCTGCCTGAGCTGGCCCGTGCCCCGGGGGTTTCCACATTTGCTAATGAATACTGGACTGACAGGACGGGCAGCCGTGTGGGGGCCACATGCCCCTCCCGTGTACTCCCCACTTCACAGCAGGAGGCAGGGCAGGGGCCGGCTGCTTCACCCACACTGCCTCAGTGATCCTCAGAGCACCTCCACTAGGCAGTTTTCACGCCAATCTGTAAGTGGAGAGAACGAGGCCCGAAGCGTCGTGACTTGCCCAAGAGGGAAAGGGGGGAATCTGGGATTTGAAACCATGTATTTGTGATCCGTAGCGCTCCAAGGTCACATGTCAACGGGTAGGAGGCGGTGGGCCAAAGGGGAAAGGGGGCTCATAGCCATGGGGGTAGTGATACTTGAGATACATCATGGAACACGATGGAAAACTCAAAAAAGAAATTTTTTTTCAATAAAGACTTCAAAGAAATGGATTGGTGCCCTCAGTGTCGTGCACCGTTCCTCCTAAGACCATGCTCCCGTCGGCTGTCAGGCAGCCCCCTCCAAGCCCTTCCCTGAGGTCCAAGCAGAGAAGCGCCTACTCCTAGCAGCTCAGGCTGGTCTCGGAATCCCTGGAAGCCAACACTCTCGCTGCTCAGATGAGGGAACGGGGCCCCTTTTTCAAGCAGCCCGCTGTGCATCTCCATGCCCAACCTCTCCACTCCACACCACCTAGCAGCACTGCCTGGGCACCAGGTCAGCTGCGACATGTCCCCTCGAGTGTGAGCTGTTTACACCACGAGGAGAAAGAGCTCCCTTGATGTAGTCCCTTTGGACTCTTTCTAAATGCGGCCACCATGTTCTGATGTCAGGGAGATGTGATAAGGTATCTAGATGGTATGGTGACGAAAAAGACTGCTCCACTGCAGGAATCTGAATTGTTTCATTTATTCTAGGGCAAACTCAAAAGGGTTTTTTTGTTGTCATTGTTTTCTTTTTTAGCAAATCCTAGCACATTATTAACAAAAAAAAAACTGTACATTTACCATGATACACTTGAAGGTGAAACAAATAAGATATAAATACAGATATGGATGTAACATGAAAAAGCCCAAAAACAAAAAACAAAAACCCAACCTGGGGGTGTGAGGGACCATGCGTGTGAACAGTGCCAACAAAACTATTTTGGTGGCTGATGTTTTTCAGAGCATTTCTTTTTTCATTTCCAAACATCACTGTTAGCAAAGTCCTGGTGGGATTCTACAAAGTTCTTATTTGCTGTTTTTTAATGTGTAATATTATGCTTGATAAATAAAGGGTGGCAGGGAAAGAAAAAGATTCATGAGACAAACTCAGTGGCATTACCTGCTCGGGGTATCGGTAAGCTAGTGACGAGCCCGAGAGAGGCAGCCCCGCGGCCGGCGGCAGCCCTGGGCCAAAGAGGCACACATGGCGCCCTTGAAGAAGGTTGCCCGCCGCCCCCTTGGCCTCAGCCTGTGGGCACACCGGGGCCCAAGAGGGATGGCAGCAGCTTGAAGGAAAGTGAGAGCCAGGCGATCCGGCCCCAGCGGGGATGGGGGGTTTTGGGGCCCTGGAAAGTCAGGTAAACAGGGGAGGCAAACCCAGTTTTGGGGGCTTTGCTCTTCTGTGTTCTGCTGTTTCATCCGAACAGGAGGCCTGGCAGGGAGGCGGCGGCAAGGCAAGGCAGCTGCAGCTGTCAGGACTTGGAGAGGGCGGTGGTGGTGCAGCCCCCTCCCTGTGAGGTGGTGGCGGCATGCGAGTCCCCTCGGCGGTGGGAGCAGTTTTGATTGAGGCCAAGAGACCTGTGAGCGATTGTATCTAAGTCAGGAGATTGAAGGTTGGGCAGGTGACATTCAAGGCTAGCCCTTTGCAAGTACTATGAGGACATTCGGCAATGTTCTTCCCAACTACAGGCGGGGGGCCAGGGGGACTAGGAGTCAGAGCTGGAGGAGAAAGGTCTTTCTAAGTGCAGTAGGCATAAAAGAACTCATAAATAACCTAGCCAGAACGCACGTTTCTAACACAGAAGAGTCGTCAAGACGCTCCAGCTCACTTGTAGAGTGTAAAAAAGAAACCTCCTTAGTGAAATATTAACAAATGGTATTTATCAATGAAAGTAAGGCCTGGTTCTGCTATGTTCTGAGCCAAAAATAAGTCAATAATATTCAACCACTTAAAACACACTCTTAAAGTTCCCTCAACAGCAGCAGTGGGGTACGTCCTACATGTGCAAGATACCCCCTCCACACACACACACACACACCCACACACACACACACATACACCCTCGCAGTGAAGGCACCCTGGCTTCACTGTTCCTGGACCTTCATTTTCAGTGCCTATTTCCAAATAAGGTATCTATAATAAATTCTGAATGAAAACGAGCTATGTTTGCTACAGTGTCTTTCACAACTTCCACCATCAAAGCTGGAGGGTCAGAGAAGGGGGTCTGTGAAGACGAGCGGTGAGAACCACAGTCCCTGCTCCTCAGTGCTGGCGGCTGTGAGGGACTGCATCGGAACAGCAAACACTTCATTAAAAATGAACATCAGAATACGCATTTTCCTTATGGAAAAATCAGTTCAATGTAGAGGATCAAAAATAGAATAATCAGCGACGATAGAAGTCTTCATGATTGCATTAAAAGTTTCCATTTGGCTTTAAGACTTTTACTCAAAACTTATTTAACCAGATTCCAAATCTAGTTACTTTTATTGGAGCAATCAAACCTCCAAGAAATTTTTTAAAAGGGGTAGTTTCTCTGGTAATTTCTCATTGAAGAAAAGGAAACAGACTAAAATTGTGTTTCAAATCCTGTTTTTCTGCAATTTGCCACTCACCATAATTACTTTTTCCTTAAATAATGACTCCTTCAATAGATGATCAAGGAAGTACTTCAGTCCATAAAATTAAAAAAAAAATGGTTCAGATACGTGGTCTCTCTCGACTTTTCTTTGATCTTAATCCCAAATTAAAGAGAGAAGTCAAAACTGAGAGGGCAGAGTTGCCATTTACCAGATTAACTGAGAACATTTCAGAACTGAGCAGCTCAGGCAAAGGTTAGGGGAGAGAAAAAAGATGGTGCTAAGCGGAATCGCCAAGTCCCAGGGTCCCGGGAGAAGCCCCGTGTGTCCCCAAGATCTCAGCAGTAAAACAACTTCACCTCTTACGTCCTCTATGCTTCATGATATGCCATTTTTGGCATCCACTAACCGATGCTATAAATTTACCTTGATTTTTCAGTTTGCATTTAAACTTTAAGAATTCTTTCCAGTGGAAGCTCTGGGGTAGGGACAGCATCAGTGAAGCTGTTCAGAAGGGGCTGAGAGCCTATCCTGGAAGAATATTACGGAGGACGCCCTTCTAAACTAAAAGTGAAGGCAGTCGGCCTCCAGTCTAGACATAAGCAAAATTCCAGGTATTTGTTAAAAGGCCATCTTCAGGCTTTTCTCCATTTCTTGCCAAGACTTGATTCATATTCTTAGTAGGTCTCAAAACACAACTTAAAGACGAACAACCCTTTCACGGTGTCAGTTGTGAAAGGGGTGGGGCTCTGCCCCACACAGGCCACATGGAGAGGAAAGTAAGATGAAAGAGAAACACAGATTAACATACCCTCCTCAAATCTGTTATTAGCTGAAAAGAAAATGCTACTTTCTACCAAGTATTGGCTAGAGAGCTCTGATTTTAAAAACTGCATCCACACACATGGTTTTATGATCTCAGCAGGCTGTACAAGACATGTTTAAGTATGGCTCTTTTCTTTTCTTATTCCTTTTGTTTTGTAAGAAGATGCGATACAGGCCTTGCTTTCTTTACATTCAATACCAGTAAGATTCTACACAAAAGCTGGAAGGGACCAGAATACTGATTGTAATAAATATCTGCGGGCCTCCTTGTACTGACTGGGCAGCCGATGAAGGGGGAGGGTGGGAAAGGTCTCGGAGAGGCACCACCAATTGCTTCTAGGGCTACCAAGAGACTCTGGCGTCACCATTAGCTGTGTGTGGACACATCGGAGGAGGAGCTGCTGTTGCTGTTCGTGGTTTGGGCCCTCTTTATATATAAATTTAGTAGCTTCATCTGCAAAGAGAAGATACAAATAAATTAGCAGGAGGAAAAGCAATCAAAAAGTAGAAAACAGGGAAAAAACCCAGGTGACAATAAGAAAAGAGCTTGTTCCTTAGCTCAGAAATTCATCACACAAACATTTACTGAGTGCCACTACTCATCCAACGCATCTGCCCAGTGCCAGGGCCACGGCAGGAGGGAGGAGGTCAGAGTCCGGAGGGGAGGAAGCACAATGGGTTGTGACAAAAAGGATGAAACCTGTTCTAACCAGGTGGGCCACAAGAGATCCCTGGAAAAAGGTATCTGAGGGGCAGATCCACACCCTTCTGGGACGACTGCAGCCAACGGCGCCGTCCAAGCTTGCGGGAATAGCAGGGTGAGGGCCCACACTCCACTGGGATAAAGCAGCTAAGCCAAGGTTAGAGGTCAAGTTCCCTAACCTCCACTCCTTTGCTAAAGCTGAAGCTGTTCCTTTCACCTAGCACACCTTCTCTCCCCACCCCCATTTCTCCCTACCGAAACCCACCGAAGCACTGTGGCACCTGAGACCCAGCTTAAAGGCCACCTCCAGGAAGCCCTCCCCCATCTGCTCATCTGGATGCCATCATCCCCTCCTTGGAACTCCTGAGGCACTCCCTCCCCCTAGTGCAACTCAGCATATGCTGCCTCAAGCTACAGTTGGCAGTGGACTTGCTCGCTCCTTCCAGCAAGATTAGACCTTCCGGGGGCCAGATACTGCATCACTAAATAACGTCACCCCAGATGGGCATAGTGCTTTACAATGAAAAGGCTTTCATAGCTGAGATCTCATTTGTTTTTAACTTAAGTCCGCTTGGACCCTCAAAATATGTAGAACAGCATGTAACATTGTAGGTTCTTAAATACTTGCTGAATGCCACTACGGTAATATGCTGATAATTTGCCTGATCATATTAAAAAGAAAATAGACATTTGTAGAAGCAAAATGTCCCAAGAAATCTATGTAACATACAACTTGTAAAATTAAGGGAATTATGAAATACTTACTATACACAGCTCTTGACCTGCCTTGCTCTAAACAGACTGTGAGGCTGAGACGATTATAAGCCAGCCCAGGGGAGGAGAGGCTGGTCTCCAGGGGGACCCAGGAGGAGAAGCTCAGGGTGGTGTGTGTGGTGCATGAGAAAGCAGGGCCCTCTGACAACCCGTGGGAGCAGGAAGAGCACCCAGAGAGCTGCGAAGAGAGGTGAAGGCCCCCACCATCCCAGCCCCCACAGGCTCTGTCTCAGACGTGTGGAGCCTGAAGCACGCAGCGTGCAGTGGGTTTACCCACAGTGAGGTCTGCAGTGAGCACTCTGGAGCTTGCTGCTTGTACTCCACAGCCCACCTCTGGGCTCTCCCTACGCCAGCACCTGTGACGCTGTCTTACTCTCCTCAACTGCAGAGGAGTATGTCATGTTAACCTACGACGTGCATCAGTTTGTCATTCCCCACCTTTTAAAATCTCAAACCTTTTACTATAATAATCCGTGCAATGCTGCAAGTGCCATCATTGTACACGAGGATGTTAACGCTTTGAGGCTCTTGTGATACACCCATCCAGGGCCAACTAGGTTCAAGGGAAACCCTGGCACATTACACAAAGCACTGGCCTGAGGCTCAACAAATCAGGCAGTTCTGGAACCAACTCTACCACTAACTGGTTGTGTGACCTCAGGTAAAACGTTTTCTGAGCCTCAACTTCCCCACCTGCAAAATGAAGAGCAGTGAGAACACTTCCATGTTCCTTCTGTAGATCCTTGTTCAGAAAATGTGTCCTCTGAACACCCCTCTCCTATTTCGACCCAAGTTGTTCACGCTGTTCCTTCCTGCAGTTTGCTCCATCTTCTCTCCCTATGCAGCTCCCCCCATTCTGCCAAGCCCGCCAGCCTAGCTTAGTCCCCCTTCCTCCAAGAAGTCTCTCCCTTTCCTCCTGCTCCAGTGGGCCTAGGGCCCGGCAATCGGCGCCCGTCCCACTGTGTCAGCTGCACGCTGGTCACTCCTGGGCTGCTGGAAAGGTTTCCTCATGTGTCAGTCCTGCCCCCCAGCTGTATTTTATGCTACTCAGGGCAGAACAAGGTTTTGCTTTTCCTACATGTCTTACCATAGTGTAATGAAGACAGCAGCTTCCTAACACATACTTGTTGAATCGAAGAATTTTTAAAGACAAAAGAAAAAAATGATCTAGAAGACAAGATAGTTATATTTCTATGAAAGGTTGGTTAAAAATGAGTTGCTAAACATTGTTATATTTATTTGCAACTCAAAACCACAGAAGTATCCACCTAGTCAAGTCTAGAATATAACTACAAGGAAAAGATAATGACAGTAGAGTTAACGATGTGTGCATGTTCAACAGTTTACAAGGAGCTTTTTATCCTGATTACCATATTTGAGCCTCACAAAAGTCCTCTGAGGTAGGCAGAACAGGTTCTCCTCTTTTACAAATGAAACAGCTGGGATTCAGAAAGCTTGCTCAATAAGCTGGTATAAATTCAAATCAGAGTGTTATATCTGTAGGATGTCAAATGTAATCCTCACAGAAACCACAAAGAAAATAGCTACAGAATATACACAACAGGCTATGAGAAGGCAATGAAAACATTTCAGTACAAAAAGCAAACAAACATAAAAGAAGACAGTAATTCAGAAAACGAAAGAGAAAAAAAGCTTGTAAGGCATACAGAAAACAAATACCAAAACGACAAAGTCTCTCCTTATCAGTCGTTACTGTAAATGTAAATGAGTTAAACTCTCCAATCAAAAGACAGAGATTAGCAGAATGGATTAAAAAAAAAAACACGATTCAACTATAGTAGCCCCCTCTTATCTGTGGGGGATATATTCCAAGACCCCCAGTACATGCCTGAAACTGTGGATAGTACCAAACCCCACATATACTATGTTTTTTCCTATACATACATACCTTTGATAAAGTTTAATTTATAAATTAGGCACAGTTAAGAGATTAACAACAGTAACTAATAATACAATAGAACAATTATGACAATATACTGTAATAAAAGTTATGTGAATGTTGTCTCTCTCTCAAAATACCTTATTATCCTCACCCTTCTTCTTGTGAAGACGTGAGATGATAAAATGCCTATGTGATGAGATGAATGACATAGGCATTGTGATGCAGCATAAGGCTACTATCGACCTTCTGACAACACGTCAGAAAGAGGATCATCTGCTTCCAGACCACAGTTGGCCGTGGGTAACTGAAACCGTAGAAAACGAAACTGCAGATAAGGGAAGACTATTGTATATGCTGTCTACAAGAGACTCACTTTAGATCCAAGGCACAAATAGGTTGAAAGTGAAAGGATGGAAAAAGACATTCCACGCAAATAGTAACCAAGAGTACTGGGGTAGCAATACTAATATCAGACAAAATAGACTTTAAATCGACAAAGATTACAAGAGACAAAGAAGGACATCACATATCAATAAAAAGTCAATACAGCAAGAAGATATAACAATTATAAACATTTACATATCTAATAACATGCCATCAAAATATAAGAAGCAAAAATTGACAGACTGAAGGGAGAAACAGTTTTACTATAATAGCTGGAGACTTCACTACCCTACTCTAAATAAAATGGATAGAAGAACCAAAAAAATAAGTAAGGAAATAGAGGACATGAACAACATTATAAACCAACTAGATCTAACAGACACATACAGAATACTCTACCCAAGTGCACATGGAACATTCTCTAGGATAGATTATATGTTAGGCCACAAATTAAGTCTCAACAGATTTAAAAAGATAGATATCATACAGTTATCTTCTCTGACCACAACTGGATGAAATTAGCAATCAGTAACAGAAAGAAAACTGAAAAATTTAGATTTGTGGAAATTGAACAACACATTCTTAACCAATGTATCAAAGAAGAAATCATAAGGGAAATCAGAAAATCTTGAGACAAGTGAAAACGAAAACACAACATACCAAAACTTATGAAATGCAGCAAAAGCAGGCACTGCATAAAGGAAAACTTATAGCTGTAAATGCTTATAATAAAAAAGAAGAAAGATCCCATGTCAATAACCTAACTTTACATCTTAAGGAAATAGAAAAATAAGAATAAACTAAACCCAAAGCTAGTATAAGGAAGGAATAATAAAGATTAGAGCAAAGATAAATGAAACAGAAAAACAAGAGAGAAAAATCAATGAAGCCAAAAGTTGGTTCTTTGAAAAGATCAACAAAATTGACAAACCTTTAGCTAAACTGACTAAGAAAAAGAAAACAAAATCAATTTACTAAAATCAGAAACAAATGTGGGAACATTACTACCAATTTTACAGAAATCAAAAAGATTATAAAAGAATACTATGAATAATTGTACACCAACATATTAGATAACCTAGATTAAACAGACAAATTCCTAGAAAAACAAAACCTACCAAGACTGAATCATGAAGAAAAAGAAAATCTAAACAGATCCATAACTGGTAAAGAGACTGACTCAGTAATCAAAAATCTCCTGACAAACAAAAGCCCTGGACTAGACAGCTTCACTGGTGAATTCTACCAAATGTTTAGAGAACTAACACCAATTCTGCTCAAACTTTTCCAGAAAACTGAAGAAAAAGGAACACTTCCAAACTCATGCTACAAGGTCAGCATTGTCCTGATGCCAAAGCCAAATACATTACAAGAAAAGAGAACTACAGATAAATATCCCTTATGAACACCGATGAAAACATCCTCAAGAAAAGACTAGCAAACCACATTCAACAGCATATTAAAAGGATTACACACCATGACCTAGTGGAATTTATTCCTGAAATGCAAGGATGGTTCAACATATGAAAAATCAATACAATACACCACATTAACAGAATGAAGGGAAAAAAACACACAATCATCTCAATTGATGCAGAAAAAGTATCTGACAAAATTCAATACCCTTTCATAATAAAAATACTCAATAAACTAGGAATAGAAGGAAACTACCTTAACATATCAAAAGCTA